GTGGTATATCTTGATGTTAGTAAGGCTTTTGATAGTGTCTTGCATGACCTTCTCATAAACAAACTAGGGAAATACAACCTAGATGGAGATACTATAAAGTGGGTGCATAACTGGTTGGAAAACCATTCCCAGAGAGTAGTTATCAGTGGTTCACAGTGAAGATGGAAGGGCATTTTGAGTGGGGTCATGCAGGGATCAGTTCTGGGTCCAGTTCTGTTCAATACCTTCATCAATGATTTAGATAATGGCATAGAGAGTACACTTATAATCTTTGTTGATGATACCACGGTGGTAGGAGTTGCAAGTGCTTTGGAGGATAGGATTAAAATTCAAAATGATCTGGGCAAACTGGAGAAACGGTCTGAAGTAAATAGGATGAAATTCAATAAGGACAAATGCAAAGTACCCCACTTAGGAAGGGACAATCAGTTGCACACATACAAAATGGGAAATGACTGCCTAGGAAGGAGTACTGCAGAAATGGTTCTGGGGGTCATAGTGGATCAAAAGCTATATATGAGTCAACAGTGTAACACTGTTTCAAAAAAAAGCAAACATCATTCTGGTATGTATTAGCAGGATTGTTGTAAGCAAGACATGAGAAGTAATTCTTCCGCTCTTCTCCATGCTGATAAGGCCTCAAGTGGAGTATTGTGTCCAGTTCTGGATGCCACATTTCAGGTAGGATGTGGACAAATTGGAGAAAGTCCAGAGAAGAGCAACAAAAATGATTAAAGGACTAGAAAATATGGGAAGATTGAAAAAAAATGTGTTTTTTTAGTCTGGAAACGAGGAGACTGAGAGGGGACATGATAACACTTTTCAAGTATATAAAAGGTTGTTACAAGCAGAAGGGAGAAAAATGTTCTCCTTAACTTTTGAGGCTAGGACAAGAAGCAATGGGCTTAAACTGCAGCAAGGACAGTTTAGGTTGGACATTAGGAAAAACTTCCTGTCAGGGTTGTGAAACACTGAAATAAATTGGCTAGGGAGATTGTGGAATCTCCATCATTGGAGATTTTTAAGAGCAGGTTAGACAAACACCTGTCAGGTATGGTCTAGATAATACTTAGACCTGTCATGAATACAGGGGACTGGACTAGATGACCTCTCAAGGTCCCTTCCAGTCCTACGAGTCTATGATTCTATAAATGTTTAACTTAAATTTTGCTCCTGCTGACATAACTGCCAACTTAATAACTCCACATCCATGAGTGGCATAGCGTCAAGGTCAATGTAGTTAGGGCGACGCAGTGTCAGTGTAGACACTGCGTTGTTTATGTTAACTGTTACTGGCTTTCAGGAGCCTTCCTATAATGCCCCACAGTAACAGTACAATAGATACAAGCTATCTTGGTGATGACACACACCGCTGACACAAGGAGTAAAGTGTTGACATACATAAGTGATGTAATTACTGTGGTAGCTATATGCTGATGTAAGTTAGGTTGACTTAATTTTGTATGTAGACATGGCGTCTAAATCAGGAACGCCAGAACAGGCAGACCAGAGGAAGAGGTGATGCGGGGACATGGTATGGGGGCAGGGGTGGTGTGAGGTTGGGGGCTTGGGGAGAAGGGGCAGTACAGTGGTGTGGCATGGGGGTGGGGCCATGGTTCAGGCATCTGTGCCCCACTCCTTTTAGGGCACTTCTGCTGCTCCTGCTCTGAGTACCTTTCCCAGACCTGAAGAAGAGCTCTGTGTATGCTCAAAAGGTTGTCTCTTTCTCCAACAGAAATTGGTCCAATAAAAGATATTGCATCCCACACCTTGTCTCTCTAAATTATAAAATGAACAGTCAAAGGAATCATGTTGCCTGTTTATCTAAGTACTTCTGTTTGTCACTCTTTCTGACAAATAGTTAAAAATAAATTCTGTTTTACTAAGATCCACAGCACATTTGTCATGGTAGTTAGGTGTCTATAGAAAAGAGCAAAGCAAGAACAAAATTAAGGATAGCAATTTTCAAAGCCAGAGACCCTCATCAGAGAGAACCCTGCCTCAAGACATGGCATGGAAAAAACTAAGATTCCAAGAGCCAGTCATCTTAACTGCTATGATAAGGTGTAAGGTGACAGTCTGTGTTTAAGATAATCAGATCTGAGATTAATACGTTTTTTAAATTCTTCAGTACCTCCTGAATTCTATATGTAAATTTACAGTACAGAAACTTGAAAACATATACTACCCTGAATTCTAAATGAAGTCTTATTAGGAATGCAGCTGCCTGCTCCTTGCATTATGCAGAATACTGCACACACGTTCACTAGATATTGTGTATCTCCATGACCCGAGCTTGGTGCCTTCTACCTTATAGTACAGTGGGTCTCAAACTTTTGTTACTGGTGACCCCTTTCACATCGCAAGCCTCTGAGTGCAACCCCCCTAATAAATTAAACACCCTTTTAAATATATTTAACACCATTATAAATGCTGGCGGCAAGCGGGGTTTGGGGTGGAGGTTGACAGCTCGCGACCCCCCCACACACCATGTAATGTCCTTGCGACCCCCTGAGGGGTCCTGACCCCCAGTTTGAGAACCCCTGTTATAGTAGGAAGTCAAGGTGTTAATTTTAACCTGCATGGTTCTAGTTAACCTGTGATCTGGTTGTCTGAGAGATCACGTCTCTCTGTAAAACTGTACCCTAGTTGTAGTCAGTGGAGACACTGGAGCTGGACCCTCTATGGTATAGAAGAAAGATGTTGTTGAAATAAATATTACACTGTTGCATTTAAGCAAGAAACCAATGACAGAATGCGAACAATTTTCCCTCAGATTAGAAATGTACAAACTGTCTCAATAGGAAATGCCCTGATGCCTTCAAACCAGTTTGTCTGAATACTCATTATTCCTTATAATGTATCCCCTAGAGAAATTAATGCAGTTACATACCCAATCAAGGAAGTTTAAAGTACCATGGCCATGCTCAAGCAAGTATCATTATTGTTGCTACTTGTAATGCTATAGCACCTTTCAATCAAACATCTTTTTTTTAAATGTAAAATTACCAAAGTTTCATACTGCTAGTTGTGGTAGTTTTCCAATAATCTCTTTACCTTATTGCTGATTAATAATATAAGATATACAACCTATTTCTGTGTAATCAGATGCTTTCTCCTCTATAATCAGCCTCTACCTCCTATTTCATTCATTCAGTGAAGTCACAAGCCATTGGTTTGTGACATGAGACTTGTTTCTGTCTCGATGAATTTTGATATTCCAAATACTGCAGTGAAGCATGACTGAAGGAATTATCCAGGAAGAAAGTGTTTATAGTTCAGGGAGATCTTCTGGTCTGTTGTACACACACAAACACACCTCCTTGATATTTGATTCCAATGTGGAAGAAAATACAGCTCAAGTACAAAACAGTATAATGGGGAATTGATATAATGTTATGCTTGTAAAGTTGCTAGTGTGGCTGTGGTATGATTTGTATCATCTGTAAATGTTAGCGTATAGAGTGTACAGTTCACAGGGAGAAGGGAGCAGAACAATATGTAAAATGTCATATATTCATTTTGTATAGACAGGCAGCACTAGTCCTGCATTCTGCGTGCTTTTTTAAACAGGAGCTGTTAAAATGTAAAAAGGAGTAAAGTGAGAAAAGGATTTGTTGTTAGTAAATAGCTGAATTCAGCATTGAATGAATATAACATTACTTATGGCACACAGTAGAATATTCAATCAAGCCTCCTTTTCAAGCAATTGATATTTTCTATGTCTGGTGCATAATACTGTCTAGAGAATTAAAGGATGTTAACATTTCATTACTCCTGCCATTGATTTTTCTCTACTTTCTTCACAACAAAAATCAAAATGTGACCTCTTATTCCACTGAATTAGTTCCAGAGCACTTGCCATTATTGACCTCCTAATGAAAATTAATGATGGCTTCTTTCATTCAGTCTTACAAGTAAGCACAGCAAGCAAATTTCCCAAAAGGGTGGTTTTTTTCCCCTCAGATTGAAATGAAAAAGACCATATTAAATACAAATCCTACGTTAAGGCAGCATTAAGTGTGCAAATTTAAACACTCAAAAGTCAGAACATTCATAATATTTTAATTATGATTTCAATTGCATCATTGGGGCCCAATGCTACAAAAACTTAACCATGTCAGTAGCTTTACTCATGTACAGTCAATGAGACTACTCATATAAGTAAAGTCACATCTGTGTTTAAATCTTTGCAGCATTGGGCCCTTTATTTGTTTATATTGCACATATTTGGTCACTTCCTGCCCCCCAACTCCCTTCATCCTGCATAGGGGAAACTGAGGGTGGCATAGAACAGCATTTACACTAAACACTTCTGGGCCCATGATGTGGGGCAGAGTCAGCAGGCCCTGGGTGCTAGATCAGTTACTTTAGGCAGCAGACTTAAGTTAAAACAACAGTAAGGCATAAAGCCACCTTTGCCCTCCATCAACATCTCCAGTCTTGCATCGAGCACAATTCAGCTTGACTGGGAGTGCTTGGCCACTGTATAAATGTTAGGCATTGCATATATTAAGGTAGTCTAAGATATTGCAGTACAAACATGCAGTGCATGCTAATTAACTTTAACTATTTCATTTCTGGACTTTTGGGTGTTTAAATATGCAAATTTTGCACTAACATAGATATTTATTTTCTTTTCTCAAGGCTAGAAAAGGCTTTACATTATTTTATTTTTTTAGTGGAATTATCTCCCGCTGCTCAAATAACACCAAAAAACAAACAGGTGAACTGATTGCATTTATAGCCATCCATACAAATATATATGCACAAATCACCTTCAGGGTAAGACCATGGGCTCTCTTACATCTGTGTAAATTAGGCATAACTCCATCAGTGTCAAAACAGGATAAATGAGAGGTTCCATATCTGGACGTGAAAACTAGATACTTTATCTATGGCATTTGCTGATGACACAAAATTATCTAGTGAAAACATATTATTGTCTGAAGATCAAGTCAAATACCTCATTTTCTTTCTTTCTTTCTTTCTTTCTTTAGACAACAAAGATTATGATGCATATCTATCCTATACCAAAGTGGATCCAGACCAGTGGAATCAAGAAACTGGGGAAGAAGAACGATTTGCTCTTGAGATCCTACCAGATATGCTTGAAAAGCATTATGGGTACAAGTTGTTCATACCAGACAGAGATTTGATTCCCACTGGAAGTAAGTTATATTCAGCCATTTGTGTGTGTTTCCTATATGGGGAAAACAGAAAATACATATATGTTGCAACAATGTGCTTTCTATCATAATATCCTCAGGGTCTTATCTCTGAGTTTTCTCTATCATTTTAAAAAATATTTTATCTGATTTTCGAGGTGCACTTTTAAAATATTTGTTGGCTTGCCTCTGTTCTTCCCTAAAATATCACTTGCGTATTTGGTTGGGTATTATTTTTAGTTACGATTATAGTGTTCAGGAAAGACATAGACAGGAAAGCATGACAAGACCAGTATTTTGTACGGTTTGGTGTGGAGCCTTTCTATCTATGAATCAAATACTGATGTTCTTAATCTGTTTTAACTCAGTCCATACTTGAACAAATTCCCATGGCCCTGAATGTGCACTGAGTAAAATCGGAGTAAGGACTCAGAATTTAGCCCTTTGCTTATTCCAGAAACCAATCAAGCTTTCTATGGGGGGATAATAGACTTGTGTTGAAACTAGTACAACAGTGGAGTGATACATTTGTGTCTCTTTTAAGGAACGCTATATGCCTTGGCATTCTGTTAGTATTCACAGCAGATGAGTTTTTGGTGTGGCTACTGGAGATCTTCATAGAGAGCAAAATTAGCTAATTAGTGCTTAGTTTTGTTCATTTACTACTTGTTCATGTTTATTTTCCATAGTCCTGCCCAATTTTAGTTACTGCTTTAGTGAGAAGTTGTAAAGTCCATCTCCATAGCTTCCATGTAGCCTTCAAACTGCCACCTTCTTACTGGATTATTCTAATTTACTTTTACTAAAGGCAGTAATGAATCTTTTATCTTAAAAAGAAAAAAAATAGACACATTAGCAGCAAAGTTGTTGTTCAAATCTGCAATAATCTGAGCATTAATTCACAGGAGGCAACATTGGAAAAAAAAAAGACAGACTAAGGGTCCAACCCTGCAATATACACAAGAGTAACTTGTGAGTTTATTGTGTATGATTGGTCCCCTAAATCACATGGTCGTTGTTCTGTTACCACACAGAATGACTTTTAAAATAGAAGAATGATGATGATAATACATAGCCTTGCTCACGTGCAGATGTTGGTATTTGTACAAAAAATTAGCCAGTACCCAAATATTCTGATGAATAGAAACCCATTCACATCAGGGGGAGGGGAAATTGAATGAATGTATGCAATCAATACTTTTCAGTGTTCAGCCAACTGTTCCTGGACAGGAGAATTTAGCCCATTTGTTTCTACCGAGGGTTTTGGGTGAGATACTTGCTTCGACTGATCTTGAGCAACTGTCTTTTTTTATAGCCTACATTGAAGATGTGGCAAGATGTGTAGACCAAAGCAAGCGACTGATCATCGTCATGACTCCAAATTATGTGGTAAGGAGAGGCTGGAGCATCTTCGAACTGGAAACCAGGCTTCGGAACATGCTAGTCACTGGAGAAATTAAAGTGATACTGATTGAATGCAGTGAACTCCGGGGAATTATGAACTACCAGGAGGTCGAGGCCCTCAAACATACCATCAAGCTTCTAACTGTCATTAAATGGCATGGACCAAAATGCAACAAGTTGAATTCTAAATTCTGGAAACGTTTACAGTACGAAATGCCTTTTAAGAGGATAGAACCCATCACACACGAGCAGGTTTTAGATGTCAGTGAGCAGGGGCCCTTTGGGGAACTGCAGACGGTCTCAGCAATTTCAATGGCTGCTGCCACCTCCACTGCTCTTGCCACTGCCCATCCAGATCTGCGCTCCACCTTTCATAATACGTATCATTCACAGATGCGCCAGAAACACTATTATAGAAGCTATGAATACGATGTACCTCCTACTGGCACCCTGCCTCTTACCTCAATAGGTAACCAGCATACCTACTGCAACATCCCTATGACACTTATCAATGGGCAGCGGCCGCAGACAAAAACTAACAGAGAGCAGAATCCAGATGAAGCTCACACAAACAGTGCGATACTGCCCCTCTTGCCACGGGAGACCAGTATATCAAGTGTCATTTGGTGACAGAAATGCAAAGGGGGACCCCAACCCCCTGGAGTAGAAGCTAAGTGTGCAGTCTGGTGCCTGGAACTACATCCTCGACTGCTGCTGTTAAACATGCATTACAATCTATAAAATACGAGGAAAAACAGGGTCTTGTACATATGTTTTTTGCAGTTTCTTTGTAGCATCAGTCTTCCTGTTTTATCCATGTCTCTTGCCATTCACATCTTTGACTTTGTTTTATACGTCATTGGAATTTGTATATTACGGTTTTTTTAAATGAAGAGACTGCTGTATAGATAGGAAATCTTTTTTGCTCCATTAGTATAGTTTTAGAATTTTTTTAAACATTTCTTGGGAATGCTTGGACGAAGCTATGTTAATATCAGAAGCACCATCCATTTTGTTGGCCTGCCTAGCCTGATACATGAAGGCCATGCCTGCTGCATTTCACCGTTGTGAAGAACCTTTGTTCTTAGGAGGACCCCGCCAATCATTCTGAGCTCCAATTTCATTACTTATCCCATGACAACACTTTTTCCTCCCGCCTCCCCTTATGATGGTCCCATGCTGGGTAACACTACAGACAGTCTGATCATCTAACATTTAACTCAGTAAATGCTTGTCAGACAACAAGATATACCCAATATGTATCAATTGCCTCACAGTAACCACTACAGAGTGTGTAGAAAGTAGAGTTTGTTTTTGTTTTACGGATGAGTTGATTTGTATCCCTTTTATTTATATAAAGCAACAACCCTAATTCGATCACTTCTGGAATAGTGTGAATGTGTGAATGTGTACACAGTCTTTTTTTTTTTTTTGCTTGTTTGTGTTAAGCATTTGACTTTTTCTTTTCCCCCTTTTAAATTCTGCAAATGAGGTTATTTGCAATTGTCAAACAAGTAAGGTAATAGGTGTTGAAGTGCAGTAAATCCTGCTGAGATTTAAATGATGGCTTCCAAACCAAAGGGGAGTAGAAAGACAATATCAACTATGGTTTGTCACATTGTATTATAGAAAATGGATTTTTTTAAAAAGTAAGAGCAAAACATTTCTTTCCAGCTAAGTATGGATTCCCCTTGTATTTGAACATTCCAATCACTGTAATTACTTTTCAATGATATATTCACATTTGAGCATTTTTATATTTTGTTTTAGCTTGTTACAATAAGTAAAACCTTATTAATTTCAAGGTGATTTAAATGAGAACTCAGGTAGTAAAAAAAGAAATTATGAGTACCAACGAACATAAATGTTGTAAGAATAAACATTTATTTATACAATATTAATATTTAAATTGGACGTGGAAGCATTAAAAACCATTAAGTTTATTGAATAAATAAATAAACTAGTTTGGTTTTTAATGCATGATTCCATCTTTGAGGATTGCAGATTACATGTGTACCATTGCTCCCAGATTTAAAAAAAAATCACTGTTCAGATATCTCTAGAACTAATGGAATAAGGAGCTTACCCATATTTACATCCAAATGATGCAAAAGTCACTTTCCATTTTAGAAAATTTAAAGAATGGAGTTAATTTTTTTTTCTTTTAAAAGGGCCATATTCTCTGCTGGTGTAAATGGAACTAGTGGAGGTGCTCCAATGACCATCAGCAGAGGATTGGCCCCTTCTTTTTTTTTGTTTTTTAATATCAACAATACAACATGAACACTAGGAAACAGCTTTTAATTATTTCAGCAACTCATTACATAACAGCTGACTGGTGTTGGCCAATATAATGGATGTTGTGTGATTTGTTCATTCTTATTATCACTATATTCAAAAAAATACAAGTTTTAATATTTTGGTCTCATTAGTAAGATGTGATTGGTCAAAAATGTGTAACCTGCAGTTTGTGGGCGTTTGTGGGGGTAAGTCAATATTGACAATGTCTGAGGAACGACTATTATGTTGTAACAGTCAAGAATTCTCAGTATCTGCATAACCAGTTAAAGGAGCTTTGGGATGTGCACTGACTTTTATTTGCTGAAAAATGTTTTTTTCTCTGACAATTCACTCGGGTCCTTTTCTACAATCTGTTCTTTATTTCAATTGTGTCCCCCTGGACATGTGCCAAATATCCACAAAATGAAAATGAAGCTGCCAGGGCAGATACAATTTCAAGACAGCTTTACAGATTTGATTATTTTCAGATTGTAAAACAATTGTTATTTGTTTTATATTATAGATGCCTGTCAGGAACTGATGGCATTTATCTTCATTTGACTGGATTCTAAATTCATCCAATACCCAGAAAAATTAAAATATTGTAAAATCTTTCCCTCGTCCCTCCCCTTTATATTTTTTAAGATGAAGATTGGGATGTGGAATAAATATAGAGTGTAACAACCTGGCGACAGTCACATTCTAGGCATTGGTAGGTGTTTCTTTAGCCACATTGGGGGTACTTTTTTGTTGTTCTATTTTTAGTGTAGATTTAAGCACTTTGAATAGCATGATTCAGGGATTGATGGATACTATTTGATATTCACACTATTTAAGAAAAGTTTTTTCTTATTATGCTTTGTCATATTATTAAACAAAAACAAACAAATGAAAAAAGAAATACATGCAGAAGCTATCTATGGCTTTAGAAACATTCCTCCCAGGTATTCCTCTACTATAAACAGCTCTGTGTGAGAAACAGTGAAGGAAACTGTCATGTGTTCACGTGCTCTATGTTTGACAAAAGTTCTGTTAGAACGCAAAATAAAAAGGAAAAAAAATTAATTTGCCCTAGTGCTTAGGCTCCATCCTTTTTTGGTTCAGATGTTCTAGTTTTTGATAATGCAGTCTGAAGTGTGCATGCAATAGCCAAGTGCAAGGGTTAGCCATTAAAAAAAAAGCACTTTACCTTTGAAAATTGTAGTGTGGTGATTGGACAAAACGTATTATGCCTGGTTTCCATCTGTCACTAATTGTGGGTATGTATATGGAGTCGATGCACATGAAGTATCTAGATACGGTGCTCCATTCTTATAAGATTCTCTTATCAGGCTACTCCTTGATATAAAGCTAAAGGACTTTATCACCCTGCCCCATGGAAACTCACTATAAACATCCCCCTTCTAGAGGTTCAAACACAGCTTTACTGAAAGGGAGGACTGCGCAGCATGCAGCTGATTATTTTGAAGATAAAGTATCTCTGGGCTTGATTCTGCTCTCAGCTACATCAGTGTAACTCTGTTGCAGTTGATGAAGTTAAACCAGTGTAAAAACTGGTTTAAGTGAGAGGAGAATCAGGAAAAATGGATCAGAAAAGAACTTGTATTTACAACTAACGATGGGATAAAATTCTGACCCCCCACTGAAGTCAGTGACAAAACTCCCACTGACATTAGTGAGGCCAGGATTTCACCCCAGGAGTCTACATCATAAAACACTTTGGCATTCTTTCTTTCAGGATGGCTGTTGCTCGGGTTACACATTTTTTAGCCTTAGATGCAAAATTCTTGCATTTTCTGTTAGCACCCAGCTGTTAAAATGAAGTAGACATTACATAATGGCAGATAATCAGACTCTACATGTTTAGAAAACCTGTTATACTTATCTGATTAAAATGCACAACATTTTAGTTGAATTGCATGCATTAATAATCCATTTACGTTATACAGTGAGCAATGAGCTTTTGGGGAAACAGGCCCGATAAGCAGACTTCCTTTTTTCTCAAACTTAAAAAAAAATTGTTAGGTCTACAAACCTTGGAAAAACTTTATTAGAATTACAATAAAGCAGACACTAAGAAAAGCCAATGGAATAAAAGCCAAGGTAGGAGAAGGGGGAAACATCAGCCTGTTTCTTAATTGGGTTATGGACATTCTCTGTTACGGAGTCCAGCTGCAACTCAGTCCAACCTACATAAAGCAACTGGCATGTGCCACATCCTGCAGATGGATCAACAGAGTCAGAAATACAGCCCTGATATCTGGCACAGTGCTGAATGGTTTTGCATTTGCTAGTAACCCAGCAGCATACACAGTTGTTGGGGAGTCATCCATAGTTGTGGTACATAGGAAGACAAAATGTTGTGGGCACTAAGACTCTTCCTCCATAACAGGCTTAGTGCATGATCTGGAGCAACTATTTTCATTCTTACCCTTGCTACACACAACTCAATATCATTTCTACCCCTCTTCATAACTGAACAGGAGCTTTGTTTGGCTGGAATTAGACAAACATGGGCAGTTTCATAACACTGGGTATCTCCCTGCATAATGCTTGCTTCAAGTTCCTTAGCTGTTTTATCTCTGCCACAGCGCTAGCTCGGTTAATAGTCACTGAGTGGAGAAGGAGGAGTGAGCATTTCACCCTTCAGGTCTGATTTATCACTGGTTTTGTAGGTTGAATTCAGCATTGATACCATGCTGTCTCTTGGGGCATGTTATTTTGCTGAACAGTTCCCCATTGACACTGGATATACACCAAAAAAGGACAAGGCAGCATCATGCTTCTCTAACTGAGCTTTGGTTGGTGTTCCAGAATCTGCAGAGCCTTTGGAAGTAAAACCAATAGAAATGAACATTAAGATTTTTCCTTTTCAGTTTTGTTTTTAATTCTGTTTGACATCAAGTCTGGTCTTTGTACTGTACTAATAGTGTCTATGAGATGGTTAGGCAAGACTTCAGTGAGTTATATTGCACTCAGTAAACAGAAAATGTAAAAAAAAATGGAAAGATGTGGCCATATTAACAGTTTGGTATGTAGGTAAAAAAAAAGTAAACCCCTCCCCAATGTGCCTAAATAATTTATATAGTGCTAAGGTCTGGTCCTGGGAAGGTATCCTGTTTGTAACAACGAGAAACTTGACTCAAAAGCTTAACACTGTGGTTCTCAAACTGGGACCGCCGCTTGGGTAGGGAAAGCCCCTGGCGGGCCGGGCCGGTTTGTTTACCTGCCGGGTCTGCAGGTTCAGCCAATTGCGGCTCCCACTGGCCGTGGTTCACTTCTCCAGGCCAAAGGGGGCTGCGGGAAGCGGCAGC